GATTTTCAGTCACCCCCCCCCCCCTCCAAGTCATCCGCCGGAACCCCTTGGAAAGGGTCGATCGAGTTCAGGAGAAGGTTGGCCACGAGCATGACGCGCTCCGGGCGGGTCGCGTCCCAGTTGCGGACCCGCATCCTCGTGAGCATGATCTGCGAGAGCGACATGTTCTTGTCGAGCTTCCGCAGCTCGGCGGCGTCCCCCTTGTACTTCTTCTCGCCGTCGCCGTCCGGGAGCGAGCCCAGCGCCTCCGCGTACTTCTCGAGCTCCTCCGGGGTGGCCGGGACGCCGCCCGCCGCCGCCGCCCCCGGCCGGCGCGCGAACGCCTCCTTGTGCCACTGCAGGCGCGCGTTGCTGCACCACTCCGCGTAGGGCCCCATCAGCGCCAGCAGCGGCAGGGCGTCGTTCAGGAGGCTGAACACCTGGAACGGCTCGAGCTCGACCACGACGCCCCTCATCTGGTCGAAGTCGACGGCGAGGATCTTTCCCTTCCCGCCGGGCTGCCGCCCGACCCCGAGAAGCACGCACATGAGGTCCGGGAACAAGAGCGTCCCGCCGATGCTCTCGACCATCAGGAGGCTGTTGTGGTCGTCCGGCTGCCGCAGGCCGTCTCCGCCGTCTCTGCCGCCGAGAACACCGGACGTGAGCGGCGACGCCCCGTCCTCTATGTAGAGCTCAGGGTCGTCGTCTCCCCGAACAACGGCGGTCGCGCCGGGCGCGGCGGGAGGCGGACTACCAACGCTCGCGCGTTGTTGGTTGTGAGGCTTGTTGAAGCTGCTGCGTCGGCGGACGGGCGTTCCGTCGGTGTCGTAGTACATGTTGAACGACTTCACCTTGAGCGTACGGGGCGTCACGCCGAGGGTTTCATCGGAGGGATGCGCCTTCTTGCACAGGCGGAAGCGGTCGAATTTCACGCCGAGGACCCACTCGGAGCCCACGCCGTGGCTGCTGCTAGCGATGCCGCCAGAGGCAGCGGGCGCTGCTGCCGCTGCTGCTGCTGGCCTGATGCCGCTTGCGTCCTGCTGTTCAGGCTGCGTCCCCTCCTCCGGCGTGTCCTTGTGGTTTGCTGATGCCAGGCTAAGGTGAAACCCCTCGACTTCGACGTCGACGGCGTTGATGACAGCGTCCACCAGCCTGAAGATGTGGCTCGGCGGCACGCCCTCCTCGGGCGTGGTCTTGTCGATGAGCGCGGTAAGGAGATTGGCCTGGTTGTGGTTGACGCCTTCGATGCCGGCCGCCATCGCCTCGGCCTGCTTCTCCCAGTCGTCGATGCCGTTGCCCTTGATCGCGACGCGCACCCCGACCAGCCGGATGATGAGCTTCGGCTCGAGCCTCTCCCTCTCCTCCCTCTTCCACCAGGCCTTGATGAACTTGATCAAGCCCCATCCGAAGTGGACTCGGTACTCGTCGACTCTCACCTGCGTGACATCCACCGGGTACAGGCCGACGAGAAACCCGGAGACAATCTTGAGGCTCTTCTCCGCGAGGAGGACATGCTTTGCACGGAGGCTCAGCGGCCCGTACCGCACCCTAAGCCTCGAGCGCTCGCCTGGACCGCCGTGGCTGCTGTCGGGCGCGTCCGGTTCCAGGAACTCGAGCTTGGTCGCTGCGAAGCCCGTCCCGGCATTGAGCAGCAGCCACAGCACGAATCCGACGATGCACAGAACGATAACGCTCCCGATCATGCTGCTGGCGTGGCTTGCCTCCAGCCCGTGTTCAGGAGAGGAATGCGTGCGCTATCAGAGAGCGTGTGACTTCAAGTTTCAGACTTTCAGATCAAACTTCTCTTATATGTTGTCCGCGGCAGCAGCAGCGGAGCGGCGAGACCTGCTCCTTTTTGCACCTGTTGTAGGAGCAGAGCAGAGAGAGCCTTTTGGAACGGCGACCTCTTGCTCTGCCTCTCGCGACGCCTCGATTTATCTGCCACCCAGCACCAAGCGTAGCCACGCAACACCTGGAAGTGTGCGAAGTGTGTGTACGTGTGTTCGAAGCAATGCTGGTGTTGTCTAGCTATGCAACAATTCTTCTCACCCATGCAGGAACCAGGAACGAGAACTTTTTCGATCCGATCACCAGTCCGGAGAAAAAAAAGGGTACACCTTCTGTGAGGGTATGGGAGTATCTACGATGAAGCACCAAGGAACCGGAGCTGGGGAGCTAACAGTCCCGCGGGCAAGCAAACGCATGTTTTGTTCAGGTGGTGCAGGTTGGACCTCGAGGAAACGAAGCGGCTGGATCGATACCGATCTTCACAAGCAGAGCCAGAGGCAAACACCAGTTTCCTGCCATGAACGGGGCGGTAGCTCTACGGCGAGGGGCGGGGCTGAGCATGGTAACGGCGACACCAAGATTTGGGTGTGTGCGGCCCATTTCGAAGGTCTGGGCTGCAGCAGAACGATGGCAAGCAGGAAGAACAGCAGCGGTCAGAGGAGGAGGAGGAGGAGGAGGAGGAGGAGGAGGAGGTGCCGACGACGGCGGTCACGAACTATCGACACATGTTAGCTCGGACGGTGTAACTCCTAGGATGGTAGACGTTGGCGACAAGGTGATTTCGAGCTGTAACTATGAAGCTGTTGCTGTTGCAGCGGTCGACGTTGTCCAACAAACACGAAATGGCCGCCTTATTATTACCGCCTATCAAGTTGAGCCTTTACACAGACAAGTACGCGAGCCACGAGCAAGTGGCCATACATAGCACCCAACTGGTGCGTGTGTCTGTTTAAACAGCACCGACCGTGCTAACCGGCTGGCGAACAGAAAAACGTCAGTCACAAGAGTGAGGTGTGGCTATGGTTGCACGGACGGGTCCTTGGCTTGTGTGTTGGAAGTTGAAGCCCCCACTATTCACTATGCATACAGGTAGATACAGACGCAAGTTGGGGAGGTCGCTGATTCCGGGCTCATATGACCACGCCTGGCCATTGCAAAATTACCATACGGTGTCACGTATGTACGCAACCGCAAAACACCGCTCTTCAATCCATGACCATCAAGAGCCTTCATGTTCTTTGGAAGTTTTCGTTTTGGTGGCCTTTGCAGTGATTTCTCGGTTGCAGCACCTCCGAAACCCGCAAGCGATTCAAATGCAGAGAACACCGGCCTACACAACAGGTTGAGCACTTCGTAATCCGATGCACCCGGCTATTTTTCCGACTTTGACCAAGCAAGTCACCCGTGTGCATCAGACTTGGTATTAGCGCGAGTTTCAAAGTCGAGCGCGAAGAGGCACGCGCGACCCGATCCGGAGCTTCGTATGGCACGGAAAGCAGTGTTCACAAGTGTTTCAAAACAGTACTCGGAGTATAAAATCCTGACACATCCCCCAATCCTCGGTTTCTCACCGACGAACTTAAATCCCTCCTCCCTGCACACTTCTTATGGGACGTACCGCCACCATGCAAACCCCCCAGGCGACGACGCGCAGAACAGCGACGGCGCGCAGCCGCATCCGTCTCCCTCCGGACGTCACGTCCAAGATGGAAACCGTGGGCGGAGAGGTGGTAGGCAAGAAGGGGCCCGTGTTCACGACGGCCATAGTAGCCGGGGTGCAGGCGGCCAAGCGCACGAGCGAGCTGATCCCGTTCTGCCACCCCCTGCCGATAGAGGACTGCCGCGTGGAGCTGAGCCTGAAGCAGGGTGGGGAGGTGAGTCGTGGCCAGCGCACGCACACCGTAGTTTTGTCGTTTATCTTGAGCACGAGGGTTGCCTCGTTTGTTTTTCAGCCCGCTCGGACGGTAGTTGGTTCATATCTCGCCACATGTGTGAGGCTTCGCTCTCCTCCGTACTGCATGTACTGGGCCTTTTGGATTCGGATGCCATATGAGGAAGTTTACACTTTTCGACGAAGAGATCAACCCTGGCTTCTATTCTGAACCCCGATCATCTCCTACCCTTGCAGATGTTTCATCTGTTGTTGGGAGTCGGGGGACACGGTGTGTGCTCATGTATGTCTCCGATTCGGTTTGGCATAATGGATCCTTGGGTAATGCATGTGAGGAGCCAGCTCGACACACTTCGTATTGGAGACTTTCAAGAACGGGCATAGATCACACTCCCCCGCCTATCCCCTCTGTCTTGTGAAGGGCGAAGGAGAAGTCTACAGCCGCCCTGGCGATGTCTCTGTTTACAGAAGGAATGGCGCTGTTCGTCGATGCGCGGTTGATGACCCAGCACGAAATAAAACGAACGCCGTGGTAAACCTCGCATCCTCCGCCCCCAAAACCGTGGGCTCGGCGCAGATCATCGAGGTGGACTGCACCGTGCGCGTGACGCACAAGACCGGTGTGGAGATGGAGGCCATGATGGGAGCGTCGGTGGCGGCGCTGACCGTGTACGACATGCTGAAAGGGCTGTCGCACGACATCGTAGTTGAAGACACGGCGCTCGTGTCCAAGACGGGTGGAAAGCGCGACTTTTCCAGGACTACGGGGGAGGAAGAGGCGGCCGAGCGGCGATGACATACCTAGGTTTATTCCTTTCTCTCTCTTCTTGAATATTTTGTGGGAAAAAAAAAGAAAAAAAAAGGGTTTCTCTCTTCTAAAGTAGAGGTTTGTGGAGAAAAAAAAAGAAACAAAAAAGAGGTTTGTGGACCCTTTGTCGGCTTGTAGGCGTAAGGAGGTCGTACTCATTGGTGGGCAATGTCAGCCTTTCTTGGCATTGTTGCTTCGTTTCGCGCGTCTCCTCCCAGCGGGAGACAGAGGAGGCACAACGGTACTTTGCTCTGGATTATGGGAAGGCAAGGAAAATTCAGTCAACACTTTCGACCAAGCCATACCTAAGGGCGGCGTGCGTGTTTCAACGGCGGATCACCATGTCGAGGCAATTACGTCGTGTGGACCACGCCTACAACAGAGCAGGCTCCAATTCGCGATAGGCCCCGCGCTGTGCTCAAGTTGACGGTGCCGGCCCGTCTTGGGGTCTCAGCACTGAGAGGCCACGCACGACATCGTGTTTCCGGACACCGTTCGTCCGAGAGGTTTGTTGTCCCCTGCAGTTTCTTCCGTGCACGCGAAACCGGGCAGACTATTGGCGAGAGAGAGTTCCCTCCCCCGGCCCCCCAACACACGGCGCCGGAACGGCTTCATTGCGCTCAGTTGAACGAGTTTTCACCGATTGCAACATACACAGGCGAGTGGTTGGTGAGTCAACACCCACGAAGCGGCCGGCGCATGCGCACACCTGGTGCGTAATTCATTCGCTCGTGCACTTATGCTCTAAAACACAAAAGCAGCTGACTTTGATCGCACAACATACAACAACACAGATACGAAACGATCCACAAAAGCTAAATCACAAGAATTGTCTCAAAAATTTGCAAAAATCTCAAGCCTGCTCCACCACACATCTGAGACGGCACGCTCATCGCGCATGCGATAACGTTGACTCCTGCCCCCCCCGTCAGTCCCATCACATGCCAACGAGGAGCAGGAGCCCAAAAGAAGGGTACCCAACGCACTCCTTTTCCCTTGTCAAGCCCTGGCACCACCTCCCCTCCCTCTTCTCTCGAGGACGCGTGGTCTAACACCAAAGGCAGTGCAACGCATGAGTACGCCCACACCCCCTCCCAGTCTCTTATGCATAGGCCGCACCCTCGGCTAGAGCCCTGACGCACTTCCCGCCGAAGCGCTGCAGGCCGATCAGAGCCATCGCTCCGGCTGCCGCGCCGCCCGATACCGATGCCGCCGCGGCCGGCACACCGGCGTCGCCGTTCAACCGGTCAGAACTTCCGGGTGGATTCTTCCCGGCTCCTTCCCCCTTTTCCGCTGTGGCGCGGTTATCCGCAGGTTTTGGCGGTGGTTGTGTCGCCGTCGCCGCCACCGCTGTCGTACGGGCAAGCTTGATCTGTTCCAGGAGGTTGGCAATGAAGTGCCCGTATCCCACACGCAGGGGCTGTGAAGCGCTCCTGATGGGAAAATAGGAGAGCCGGGGGGCGAGCGTCGGGGGCGGTCGGGTTAGGGAGGCGGATGATCTAGCCGAGGTTTCGCTCGCTCAAACGCCGGCAACGCGGTACTACTAAATAGCAATGACGGAAAGCAACAATGGTTTCAACCCTTTTGGTGGAAGAGAGGTCACATAACGAGGAGGTGCTGCTGCTAGAGTGCCTGCATAGGAGAGTTCGTTTGGTTACGGCAGCGCACTTAACGCCCTTTCGACTCCGGAAGGACACAACGACAACACAGGCCGTCCACAGACCCCTTGTCAGACGAACGTTACCAAAACTGACAGAAAAAAAAAAAAAAACGATCCCGAGGGTACGAGCACCTAGCTCACCCTAGTATTGCCGTCGCCCCTGCCATATCCCGTAGCAGCGAGGCCGACACCAACGCGGCTTCCGCATGCCCGACCGCCCGGCTCAGGTCCCCGAGTAGCTCCAGCTGCGGCCGGACCGAGGCCGACAGGGCCGACAGCGCTCGCTGCCGCGCGGCCGACGTCGGCCCTCCCCCGCCGCCATCTCCGCCGGAGGAACTACTGTTCGGGGCCGACGAAGACCCCGGGATTTCGGTGACGGGCGGCGTGCCTGGTGACAGCACGGCAGAAGAGCTGTCCGCGAGCGGTGGCGTTTCCGGCTGCTGCTGCTGCTGCTGCTGCTGTCCGGCTGGCGCGGCCAGCTGGGCCAGGGTCCCAACGGAAACCTTGAACATCTGTTGGGTGTGGGATGGAAAGGTGTGTGGGGTGGAAACGGGTGAGGGATGGAAAGGGGTGAGGGATGGAAAGGGGGTGAGGGATGGAAATGGATGTGGGATGGAAAAAGTGACGTTGGAACGGGGAAGTTGGTCACGCGGGAGTCGGTCACGAAGGAGGAGGGGTGGGTGAGGCTAGGGAGTGCACTCATGGGCACATACGCCGTGCTTGAAGCAACGGGGGGGGGGCGGGGGTGACCGCACCCCGCGAACTGAATCTACACACGGCACGGCTACCTGCACTGCAGCCCTCAACGCAAGGCAAGCACTCGGGCAGCCTAAGAGCCTCATACATATCAAGAGGTGTGGTTATTTTGAGTCAAGAAAATCCTCACTCCACTGCTGTACCGGTAAGGGGACAATGCCAGGGATGCAGTCTTCATAGCCAACCAACACGGGTAACCCCCCCTCCCCGCACACGCACACGCACACCACAGCGGATTGGATAGACAGGCTAGGAAAACATTGAGCCACCTGTGCCAAGCTAGGAAGGAGAGACTGGCCATCGGTGATCAGTCCTGTGGGAACAATGCTCCGTCTTCTCGAGGACTCGTGGTCAATGGTCTAACTGCTAAGGCATGCGAAACATGAGTACGCCCCCCCCCCCCCCCCCCCCCCC